GTGCAGGTTTGAGATGAAACTGGGATCCATCAGTTAGTTTCTACTCTATTTGCTTCAGATCAAAGCAGAAAAGCTGCATGTGAATGAAAAACTAACTTCAGAGTCTTTTTGTCTCCCATGGATTTAACGCTCCATCAATCCTGAAAACTTCCTCTGCTGCAGGTTTTCTAAAGCAAACTGAATTTAATAAGCGACATCGTTTTAGGCCCCTGACGTGCTTCGAGTGGAACGTTTACACCCCCACCGCTCAGGTAAATATTACACTCCTCTTACACCTGCTGACATCATCGTTAATCGATCTTTTTATGTCGGCGTGGCGCTCCGCGGCTGGAGAGGATAATCGGGAAAATTATCCGGAGAGATAAAAAGGTTTGAAATCAAATAATCGAAGCATTCAGGAGTTTGAGCTTCAAATGAACCCAATCTGTTCACAAACCTGAAAATGTTAATCTGAACGCGCCACATTCTGAAACGAGGACAAATAGATTATTTTTAAATTGTTTAAGTGATTTGCTCAGATGTTTTAACTGGGAAAATTATGAGCAACTAGTATCTTACCTGTCACAGATAGCTCTTTGAACAGACGTAGTTTAGAGAAAACGAGCGACTGCTGCCATCTTGAAATGAGTCGAATGTGTAAAGGTTCGTGCAAACCTTTGATCTACACACAACTCTGTGGTTATTTGCAAATCTAAACCGCAGCTGTGGGGCATATTTGTTGCAAACCTGATGAACTGAGGGCAAACTGAGAAATTAAAGGGTTAAAAAAAAAACATTTATTTGGGGAAAACGTAACAGCTGAAGAGTTCAGCAGCGTTCCTTTATATTGGATGCTGCTGCCTGCAGCTTGTATTTATAGACGGGGTACGCAGGAGGGGGGGACGTGACGGGGTGATTGCATAACGCCAACGCTCGTTAGCTTCAGCTGCTGCAGGTCCCGGCCCGCTTCACGTTCACAGCAGCGAAGACGCCAACAACCGACCGTCAGCAGAGGAGATGATAATTTTACAGGCCTGGATAAACGATGTTCATGAAGGAGCTCGTGCAGCTTTGAAATCTCTGAGGAGCTCGGCCCCGACACAGAACGAGACACCGTACGTCGTCCTCCGAGTAAAAACACCAAAGATGCATTCAGCTCGAGTGGCTGACAGATGCAGCTGCTTTCACGAGAACATATTCTCATGTTTAGATTCCTAAAATAAAGTCCTATTTTTCAGTTTCTTCAGTTAAAGTTGTCTGTAAGGAATTAAGTTTTTATTTTTATTAATAGAAACTGATTTTAAACTGGAGTAAGGATTTAGAAAATAATCCCAAAGCTCTCACGTCGTGGCACCTTCACGCTCAAGTCTTTTTTCATCCACTGAAAATATTAAAGGACGTGTGTTGACGTGAGAACGGGCTCAAAAGAAATCTGACGGCAACAGACAGAATCAGGAAGGACAAAATAAAATAAAACATTAGAGTCTTAATGTTCAGTTAAAGTACGTTTTAGAGCAAAACTGCTTTTTCTGCAGATGGAGCCAGAAGAAATGTTTTCATGTTCATTTTTATTTTGTTGAGGCTCGAATCTTTTCTGTCATTTTTTCTGAGCTGAATCTTGATTTGAGCCGAGCTGAACATTTTCAGAGCAGCTTGAAGATTTAACGTCTTGTTTAACTTCTATAATCAGCTATTTGAAAACTTTGCACTCTAGATTCTTCATATTCTTTGAATCAACTAGTTTAACTCATACAAATTGCATGTAATTTTTTAAACAATAATTCTGTTGTCCCTCATGAGTCACAGGGCTCAGGTTTCTGAAGCTAGTAGTCCCTCGTTACTTTGCGGTTCGTTTGGTGCACTTTCTCTATCGCGGTTTTTCAAAGTAAGATTGGACATGACACATGGTTGATTGATGGATGAGCCGCACGATCGGCATGGATTATTTTTATTTTTTTTAAATAAATTATTTTGAATTATTTAGCACTTTTGTGCAGCCCACAGCTGTGGAAGAAGCTTCCTCCTGCAGCTGATCAGCTGATCTCCATACAAAGTAGAGAAGTGGGCGTGGTCTAAAGTGCAGACAGAGGCAGGGAGCTGAAATCATGACATTCTGTGCTCTTAGAGCGTTGAGATTAGAAACATTATTTAGAATATTGTAAGAGAATGGTTTAAAACCATTAAAAATACTAAAATAAACTGCTACTTGGGGTTGAATAGTCGATTCTAAGACATCTCGCAAGCTTTTCAATTTCACGTCGACCAGTCGCGGTCAGTGATTGTATCACATGATCAGCGCCGGACCACTTGGCTACAAAACAGATTCTTTCAAGCAGATGAAGGTGAGGAGCAGGCCAAGTCTTGACAAACGGGTAGAAATTAATCAACAGTGTGGAAGTATTGCACTACAGGTGACTTCTGGTTCAACCGCCCGTGGTGGATCACACCACCACCCGACCCGCTATTTTGATTTTATTAATCCAATAAATAAAATTAAAATAAAAACGGGGGTGCACCACCTTGGTGCCACCACCGCGATGGTTTATTTTACTTAGTGGATTAAATAAAATTAAACTAACTTTTGCAGCTTAATAATAGTTTTGGTTTTCCTGTGGCTTAATTGCAATATGATAAATGGTAAATAAACGCTCCAATATACATTTTTTTGTAAATAACTTTTTTTTTTTTGTGAATAGTGTCTTGAGTTCCTATGACGTCATCAACTCTTATGCTGAAGTCGACTTTAAAAACTATGTAGTCGTTCAACCCCTACTACTTTGTGGTTTTTCACTTATCACGGGGCTTCAGGGATCCCCCGTGATAAATGAGGGACTACTGCACATCTTAATGATCTGAACATATTCATCATGATCACCTGGAACTTGTCTCAAATCATTCTCCATTTTAGTTTCTGAGAGTCAAGAGAACGTGAGACGACTTTAGGAGTTTCTATGAACCCAAACTAACAAAGAGGAGAACTGTGATCAGATCGAGACATTCAGACACTTTGTAGCTAAATTGTGACCAAAAAAAAAAAGTAATTTGTAAAAATGTTTTGATTAATTCAGAGTACAAATGTAACGAATAAGAACCAATTCAGTCCTGGACCCATCAACTCCTGGTGACCTGCAGGCTTTAATGCTGCGGCTTCAATTTCAAATTGGTCCCGTAGTTTTTTGGGGGTGGTCTTCCAGTCTGTGGTTTAAAGAGGTCAATCAGGATCTAAGCTGGTGAGATCCTCCGTAGATCGAGAGGATCTCACGTAGAGCAGCTGCTCTGTGAGTTACTGAAGACAAACGAACGAGACGTGTTTTCTTGTGTCGATATCTTTATATTTAAATCCATGAAGGTATACACAATGCAGTCTACTCTAGAACAATTTGCACACATGAATGTTTCCGTTGTCGGAGGGTGAAGCTACGTTTCGGCGTTTTATTTAGCAAACCAAACAGCAGTGCGACTCAGAAACTTGGAGCAAAACAACAAAAAAAACAAATGATAAAAACCTGTTTGTGGATGAAACCGTAGCGCAGCAGCAGGCAGGCAACATTAGAGTAGAAAATTATAAACAATATTCAATATTAATGTTTCTAAGTGTTATTTACAGCCCAGTGCTTTTACAGATAATGTTGACTTTTCCTCTGACATCACAGATTCCAGCCAATCAGAGCTCGCCTCAAGTTAAATATACAGAAACGGTTAATTTTAGGAAAAGGTGCTTCTTTTTTCTTCAGTCTGACAGTAAAGCATGAGGGGAAGCTGCGTTCCCAGTCAGCGAAGTATAAAACCACAGGCGTGACGTCCTGCAGACAAACTTAGAACCTCTTTTCTGACCTGAACTTTTGACACGGCTCTGACCTGTCGTTCTGTAGTTTCATCTCCAGCTGCTGACCAGGTTGTTTATTTTTACGCAGCATTTAAATCTTCTCAGTCCTGCCGTACATCGGTAGGAGTGTGTACAGATTCTGCTCCACTACGTCGACCCGATTCCTTCAGATTGTGGCGGTTTGCTGCGGAGCTGAACTGCTGCAGCAGCAACACACGAACCATAAATTAATTCAGACACTAACAACATGTTGTGATATGATGTCCTGGAAGTCAACTGGAAGATGATCCAGTCGTCAGCACGTTACATCTTTCTCTAAACTTTCTGCCTTTTTTTTTTTTCTTTTTTTTTCAGCTCATCCGGAGATGGAGAACAAGGTGTGTTTAAGTGCTGCAGGAATTATCCATTTCGGTTTGAGCAGCTCTCCCAACAAGTGTCATTAAACATTCCGTCGCTCTAGTTTCATCATTTATCCAAATGAAGCGTTGAGGTTTGTGTGATTTAAAGTTTTTTGTGCTCCCAGATCTAAACCAAACAAACCTCACGCGTTTCCATAAATTACATATTTATATCCACCTTCACATCAAGGCTTCGTCAACAAACTCCCCTTGAACAGTTTTTAATGTTTGACATTTGAACGATAAAGGACACGAGACGGACCCACGTGCATGCACACACTCGTATCTTAGTGCTTTACATCTCTTTTCCCACACGAAGACACACACACACGTCTTCTTTGCTTCTTCTGATCGAGCAAACGAGAAAAAAAAACAAACAAATCTGACAATTAGCTTTCGTACCTAAAACGAACAAAGTAAGTTTACAGGAAGTTTTGTGCCAGTGGTTTAGAGGTTACGGTCGTTTGCTTCTCCCTCCCGGTTCCTGATGTCCTTCGATGATCATCACCGGCAGCCGTTTCTCTCTGACCGGAGGAAAAGCAGAGTTTCTATCAGGGGGAGAGGTTGAACTGAACGACTCGTCGTCATCAGCGCTGCTTCATTGTTGTTGTTTGGAATTAATGCAGGAGGAAAACAAGAAGATATTGTTGATTAAAAGGAGACCAGGGTGGTGGAAACAAAGATCCTCAGATTTAACAAAGTTCTGGTCCAGTTTGTCGGAGGTTTCAGTGAGGTGAGGCGCACTGAGCTCCAGATGTGATCCTGTTAAAACTGGGTGGATCTAACGGTGGGGGGGGGGGGGGGGTGACTGTAGGTTAGGTGGTCTCCTTTCCTCCCTGGGTCCCCGTGACGGTTTTGATGGAGCTGAGCGTTCGGTTGAACCAGGTCTTCTTGGCGGCCTGAACCTCGTTAAGAGCGAGACCCAAATGGTGCTCCAGGTCCTGTTGGAAACGGAGAAAACGAGCAACAAATAACAGAATGATGAGCTGAAGGCTAAAATAATCAAAGGCTAGCTACAAGCTGAAAGAAATAAAGGCTAGAAGGTAAAAATTCTAAAGTAACCAAAGGCTAAAAGCAGCAAAAGGTTAGCTGAAAGCTAAAAGAAGCATAAATCTAGATGTTGACAAGCTAACTACCAACTAAAGACCAGAAGGTAAACAAATCTAAAGTGACCAAAGGCTAAAAGCAGCTGAAATGTTAGTAACTGAAGGTTAGCTGAAAGCTAAAAGCATAAAGCTAGAAGTAAACCACACTACCAACTAAAGGCTAGGTATTAGCTAAATACAGCAAAAGGTTAGCTGAAAGCTAAAATAAGCATAAATCTAGACGTTAACAAGCTAACTACCAACTAAAGGCTAGGTATTAGCTAAATGCAGCAAAAGATTAGCTGAAGAACAGTGGTAAAACAGTAGCCTAAAGCAGCAAAGACGAGTAGAACCTGCGCTGAAGCAGATTTCAAAGAGAACAAAGTTTGTTTTTGGGGAACTGAAGAGAGCTCTGTATTTTAATATTTGTAAGAAAAAAGTTACTAAGAAACAAAAGTCATAGCACCATCTGCTAATGAGCTGAATGTTTTGATGTAAGAGCCGTTAAACATGAAAGATAAAGCAGGATAAGAACAGTGTGGATGTTGATGTTCATTCCATTAAAGATTTCCTTCCAAGACTAATATTTCCATCTTCCTTCCATAATGTTTATGAAACAAGCCGACTGTCACTCCTCCTGACAGCACTGATCACGTTAGAGCCTTCTTTAAATGAACTTTGTTTTTTATTCATCGTGTTTAGATTAAAGTTGCCTCCCTGTCCATTTGATGAGTTTTAAAAACTCAGTTGATTTCCATGTAGGTAGCTGAGATACAAATTAATGAACTGGCAGCGACGTCCCGAGTTGTCACGACTCGTGGGTAGAAGTTGAACTCGGTTTGTTCCTAACGGCATCATCTATTGTTACAGGTCTCTCTTGTAAATGAGTCCTCGTGGCTCAGTGAGGCTAGCCTGTATAAATAAAGGCTGAATGAATACTGCGTCTTTAGAACGGCGGCCTGAAGGAAGCTGCAGCACGCGGTGACTCGGCCTGCGTGACCATCGGCTTCAGAGCCACCAGACGTTTTATTTTCATGCCGCAACAAAAGCAGCTCTGGAGCTCCTCAGACGTCTGAGAAGTTTATTTGTGGCCACGAGTTCTATCAGAGTCCAAACCGTACCTGGATTTTACACTCCGCCTCCACCAGCTGCAGTTTGGTCTGGGCCAGTTCCAGCTCCATCTCCCTCAGCTGGTTCTTTAAAGCCTCCTTCTCCTCGTCCGTCTCCTCCGGACCCCCGGTGGACACCGTGGACCCCGCGGGTCGAACACGACCCTCTTTATTGAACAGACTGCTGCACTTCTCACAGCTTTCCACTTTGGACTGAAGGGGAGACAAAGAAACGGATCAGCTTATCGCTCAGACATTACATTTTATTTACACCAAACTCTTGACTGCGTTCATCATCGATGAGTAATTACAGAAACTGCTCCTGGAGGTGGATACAAGCGTTAATGGAGCAGCGGAGTACTCGAGCTTGAATTGTTTCTCTTGTCTCATTAAACTCAAGTTGAAGTGGCACTTTATATCAAATTCTTATTAAACAAACTCATTAAAAAATGTATTTTTCAATTCACTGCCTAATATTGTTTACAGCTTCAGCTGGAAGTGTTGCACTAATATTAGTAAATAATAAAACCCACAGGAAAACAGAGGAAGAACTCATTTCACTTGGTTTAAAAAAAACCTTTGGGAACGTTTCGGGCAGCGCTGACAGAGTTTTCTGCCAAAATGGCCGCCTTCCCAGCAGCGGGCTCAACCAGAAGCACACGAGGTGTGCATGTGTGGATCAGGTGTGATGCTGCGGCTGCTTGGACACGCGCCACAGAAAGCTTTGATTCCACTGCCAGTAAAGAAAACAAAGAGCAGCCCACCTCTCCAGAAACCTGCTCAGTCTGGGGGGGATTAAAAAAAACTTTCTGTCGTGATCGTTAGACAAGAGGAAGAGCTTTCTCAACAGTTTTTGAACTTCTGTTCATCGTTTATTTTTATTCTTTTTCGCCCCAAATGACAAAAGACGCCTAAATTGAAGTGAAGAATGGTTCCGTTAATGCGGCACACAAGCAGCTTGTATTTTGTTTCCAAGCTGCTCCTTCATTTGGTCTGTTCTTTAGCAGCATCTATTAAAAAAATGATCGGCATTAAACACTAGTGTTCTTTTAACAGATGTTCTTTTAACAGATGTTCTTTTAACAGATGTTCTTTTAACATATGTTGTTTTAACAGATGTTTTAACAGATGTTGTCATGTCTCTGCAGAACGTTCAGTGTCTTTAAAACACACACCTGGAGTCTGAAGGTACAAACGTGAAGCTGGTTTGGTGCAACACTTTATTTATGAATCGTTTCAAAGCTTCAACAAGTCATGAGGCGACGTCGAGAAACTGAACGAACAAAAACATTTCTTTGAAAATATTCAGAAACAAACGATGGAATAAAAAGAAAATTTATTGAAAAAGGCCCCGTCTAAGAAAAATCTTTCATAGACTTAAAACAAAACTGTTCAAGAAGACTTTAGAAGATTTAAAGAAAGGGAAGAAGGAAGGGAGGAGAGGAAGGAAGGAAGGAAGGAAGGAAGGAAGGAAGGAAGGAAGGAAGG